CTTCCTTCCTTCCTTCCTTCCTTCCTTCCTTCCTTCCTTCCTTCCCTCCCTCCCTCCCTCCCTCCCTTCTTAATTCCCTTTGAATAGGTTCTGGGTAACATACTGTCCTCCTTTTTACCTGGTTATTTCCCTTTTCTTACCAATAAGGATGTATTGACTGCTTTTGGGGGCTCACGGAGGATGAACAGGTCAGCTAAGACACTCCATGAGTATATGTGGTATGTGAATTTGAGAGTCTGGGCACACATAAATATTTCTAGGCTCTCAGGGATCTAAGGATTCACATACAGGTCTTCTTTGTATCTCTGGTAATTGAAGAGTTTCCTACAGTGATTTACATACGTGGGCTTTGGCCATCAAGCCCACTGCCCCAGCCCCAAACAGCAGGATTTAGCCAGAAAGTATTTTTAGCTTACAAACAATGCTTGGGTATATTGGGAATTTAGCTTCTTCCTGTCAAGGCCCCAGGTTATGGCCCAGAGGGGAAAGGCTAGAATCCTTGTTCCTGTTTTTACATCAGAGAAGCTCTTTGTGTGAGGTTCAATGACTCTCAGGACCCAGGAGTTCCCATCCTGTGGAGGCTGATCACAGTTCCTTCCTCTGGGGATCTAAGTTTAGTGTCCTTGTCCTGAGGCAGGAGACCGCTCCTTGGAGATAAGGTGAGAGAAGAACTAGCTGGCATAGCTGGTGAGTCTCCATTTGAAAGGAGAACCCATGTTGTGTCTAGCTTGCAGAGTGCAGAAAGTTGTCCCCAATTAAAGAGTAGGCTCTTAATATGTCCTCTTGGAAACAGGGGCAGCTGGGGTTAGGGTTACCTCACCCTTCCTGCTTTTCTCGCCCAGCTTGTCCAAAGAATTAACTCCATCTACAATGCCAAGAGGGGAAAGAAGAGGTTAAAAAAGCTGTCTATGTCCAGCTTTGAGACAGCGTCGTTGAGAGGTAGGCCTAACACTTGAGCTGGTTCAGCTTTTGGGGGACTTTGGGCATTAGGGATGGAGAAGAGCATGTACTTACCTCACTTTGTCTTCCATGGTCTGATCAAGGGGTGCTTCTACTTTCTAGGATGGTAGAACCCTGCCAAGAAACGGCCACATAGAAGGGAGAGCCAAGGAGAGAAGTCAACCCTGGAATGGGTTGACTTCAGGGTTTAGGCTATGAGGCCCTGAGTTGGGAGGCTGGTGTGGGAATCTGTTTCTGGCAAAAGGAAAGGCCTGACTTACTGAGTGTTGAGGTCTGTTTTCCATTTCACATCTTGGCCTGCTTGAAGCTGGGTGTGCTTTGTTCCAGGCCTCTAGGCCTCTCTGCTGGCTCAGCCTCTGACCCACACTCTCTCAGCTACTCTAGATTATATCTGGTATAGGACTTGTATGTAGATCAGTACCTGAGATCTAGATTCTGAGAGATCCTGGTACCAACCCCCTTACCTCCTACCTACATATCTATGCCCAGGATAGCCCAGATCCATCCCTTGTGAAAAAAGTTGGGAGGTAGGTACTGCAAACATTTGCTGTGGGGCAGGAGCTTAGCAAGCATTCACTCATGTGTTACTTTTCCAGATGAGAACAGTGAGAGCGAGAGTGACTCTGATGACAGGTTCAAAGGTAAGGCCTGGCACCCCTTCCCAGCCTTGGCTAGGGGAAACCAGCCCTCCCTTCTACTGCATGTGTGCTCCCAGGGTCACATGCTCACCTGGATGGAGTGGCCACCAGAGCAGGGAGCTGCAGAGAAGTCTGTAATTCTTGAGATCTCAGTTCTGAGTTCTTACAGCTCAGCATTTAACATTTCACATTGCATGGTAAATCCAAACATTGGTCACCCTCCCCATACTTTGTCAAGCTACTGTCCATGGGAATTAGTACTAGATCTGCTAATAAAAGTTTCAGAGAGGGCTGGGAAGGTGGCCCAGTGCTAGAGTGCTCGCCTTGCATGCATGAGGCCCTGGGTTCGATTCCTTAGCACCACATAAACAGAAAAAGCTGGAAGTAGCACTGTGGCTCAAATGGTAGAGCGCTAGCCTTGAGCTGAAGAGTGCAGGGACAGTGCCCAGGCTCAGAGTTCAAGCCCTACAACCGACAAAAAAAAAAAAAAGTTTCAGAGAAGCTGGGTGCCAGGGGCTCATGCCTCTAATCTCAGCTATGTTAGGAGATCTGAGATCTGAGGATTAAGTTTCCTAGCCAGCCCAGGCAAGAAAGTCCACGTGAGTCTTATCTCCAGTTAGGCTGGGAGTGTGGGAGTGAAGCTGTGGCTCAAGTGATAGAATGCTAGCCTTGAGCAAAATGAGCACAAGGATAGCACCCAGGCTGAGTACAAACCCCAGGCTTAGGGGGAAAAAAAGTTTCAGAGAGGAGTTCAGATCACAAGTACCTCCTTCATATGTAAGAATTGTGCCATAAACTGAGGAAACTAGTGCCTTAGAGAACCAGAGGCTACCTGTCTTCGCTTTATTCACTGAAAGGTTCTGGAGTCTTCATATCAGGAGCTGTTGACAAGTCTCTGTGCTCTGCTACTGGGAAATCCAGCCTAGACCTTCCTGGATTATTACAGTAAATTGGAGCTTGCCTCTCTTCCCCACTTCCACTGGTTCCTAAGCAAATTGACCTGTGAACTTTGGACTTAGAGACAGGAACAAAGGGCCCACATACAAGGAATCTGATTTGGAGCCCAAGGATGAAGGCTTTGTGTGTGTTCATACCTTGTGATTCAGAGGTTCCATGTCTGCAGGGGTAACAGGATGAGTGCTAGTGCTATGTCTTGCCTGGCATTGGCAGTTCTGCTGGCTCTAGCTCAACTTTCAGAGGCTCCAGGAAAACCAGCCTAGTAGCTCCCTGTGTTAGGATAGAGACTTTTGTTTGGTCATAGACAACCATAAGCAAACTACTTCTCCCCCAGACTTAACTAGAATAGAGTCAAATGGGTTTATGTGTTTCAAGATGATTCAGAGAGATGGTTGAATGGAATGGCGGTGGAGGGGAGATGGAAGGTGTGTGAGGGGCCAGCCTGCTTGTCCCCTCCCTCATGTGAGACCTGCCCCCAGCCCACACACAGCGCCTGGTCCATATCCAGTCCATGCTGAAACGTGCACCCAGTTACCGGACCCTGGAGCTGGAGCTGCTTGAGTGGCAAGAACGGGAACTCTTTGAGTACTTTGTGGTGGTGTCCCTTAAGAAGAAGCCATCCCGAAACACCTACCTCCCTGAAGTCTCCTACCAGTTTCCCAAGGTGACCGCCCCCTCCCCCAAACTTGCCTCACTTCCCCCTCCTCTCTGCCTGGCCCCTTTGGGAAGAAGGTTCTCTTTCTAGCTTCTCATCAGGTGTTTGGGGGGCCTCGTGCTTATTTAGGAGGATGAAAGCTGAGAGTACTTCTCAGAGTTAAGCATAAAATGCATATTGTTCAGCAGGAGTGAAAGGTTTTGAGAAACCTCCACAACTTCTCCCTTCCTCTCCCTTCTTTCCTCCTGCTCTCCACTTCTCTTCCTTAGCCACTTTATTGAAATATATCTCACTCATTCAATTTACAGTTTATACATCATACAGTTTGCAATTCAGAATTCTTTCATGTATTTGCAGAACCATGCAATCATCACCACAATCAACTTGAGAGCATTTTATTACCCATAAAGAAACCTGGATGCCTGGCACCATTGGCCTGTAATCCTAGCTACTTAGGAGGCTGAGATCTGAGGATCACGGTTCAAAGCCAGCCCAGGCAGGAGATTGTGAAACTCTTATCTCTCCAATAAACCACTAGAAAACTGGAAGTGGCGCGGTGGCTCAAGCAGTAGAGCATTTGCCTTGAGCTGAAGAGCGCAGGGACAGAGCCCAAGCCCAGAGTTCAAACCCCACAACTGACGGAAAAAAAAAAAAAGCTGGTGTCTGTCCTCTTGTTAGTAACTACCACCACCCCTACTTTTATCTCTTCCCACTTCTCTGTTTCTTGCCAGTCAGCTTGGCCTCCTTTCTTAAAACATTTATACCCTTTTACTTTGCCTTGCTTCCTTGGAATTTCCTTTCTTGGAGTCTTCTGCCCATTCTTTCTCAGTTTTCAATCTGGCCCAGTGGCATCTGTTTCTGGGGTCTTTCTAGATGCCTGGATGTAGCCCCTCCTGTACAGTCCTCTCTTGCATATCTTTTTTCTTCCTTTTTGGCATCCTCTGATATGTTGTGTTTTCTCATTCTTCTAACCAGAATGTACAGATCCGGCCCTTGTCTACATTTGCACTTGTAGCTCAGAACACAGCACACAGTCAGATGCCATATGCAAGGTACTCAGCACTTAGCAAATGAATGAATAAGTAACTGATGTTTCAGCCTCACACTTGGACCTCTAAGAATTAGGGATGGGACAAGGTTTCTGAGAAGCATGAAGTTGGTGGGATGGCATTTAGGACTCTTGGGGGAGGAGATGCTTCTCAGCCATTCCCACCCCTACCCTGAGGTTCCTTATCATTTCTTGGTTATCTCTGTCCTCTTCCCTGCAGCTCGACAGACCCACCAAACAAATGCGGGAGGCAGAAGAAAGGCTCAAAGCTATCCCCCAGTTTTGTTTCCCAGATGCTAAGGACTGGCTCCCTGTGTCAGAGTATAGCAGGTGAGACCTGGCCTGGTCTAGTTGGAGGGAGGAAGGGGATATAATATCCCCAAGATCAGCAGATTGAGTGAGTTTGCCCTGGCTCAGACCTGCTTTCCTACAGTAATCCAACTCGTCATTCTGCCCCTGGGATGAGAGTCCCTGTTCTTGGGGACTGTCGCTGGGGTCCTCTGCTAACTTCCTTGATGCCAGACCTCTCCCTCTTCCTGGTTCTAGTGAGACCTTTTCTTTCATGCTGACTGGGGAAGATGGCAGCAGACGCTTTGGCTACTGCAGGCGCTTACTGGTAAGTAGAGCCATTCAGTCCTAAGAGGCTGCGGGGCAGGAGATGGACTGGGGTATTTGTTTGTGTCCATATGTCCTTCCACAACTCAAGATGACACCTGAGATCTGAGCCTGTCCCCTCCTCCTAACATAAACACACACACGTGCATGGAAGAGGCATTCTTGGGATACTAGAGTTCAGAGTAACCCTTCCCTTGATTGGGTCCCCGGATCTAAGACTGTGCACAATAAGAGAAAAGAGTGGATACCTTCTACTGGATTGCCATGTTTTAGCTTTTCCCTACTTTTTTGTTCATTTATTTTTCCTTGCATTGTGGTCTCTGCTGATGTCGATAGTCATATTATCCCCTCAAACCAGTATGTGTATATATATCAGATTGAATCACATCCTCACCTTCATACATGACCAGTATGATGCAGGGAGGAGGCCTAGCCATGGTCTGAAAGGTCTGGAGTATGAGCAGGATTTTCCTTGAGATTCTTAAAAAGAAGCCTTGTACTTGGAGGGAAGCACATCAGGTCTTAAAAATATAAGCCATTTTACAAGGAAAAAGTCTTTTCCCCTCTCTATTCCCATCAGCCCTGAGAAACAAATTGAAATAGAGTCAGAGAGAGCCAGGAGGTAATCAAGGTCCAAAGACTGACTCCTGTCCCCCTCTCCCCCCAGCCCCAAGTCATTGGACAATGCATTGAGGTTTCGGGGTGGGGGTGGGGAGCTTAGTGGGAGAAGGCCTCACACATACCAATTTAGGGGTATGTTAGGGAAGTCCTAGATAGGGGTCAATTATAGAAAAAACTCTAAAAGAAGAACTCCAGGCCATTCATTTATTCCTTTGTTCAGAAGCACTTACATACCTGCTTTGCATCAGACTGTATGCTGAAGTCACATAAAGATGAGTTCTGAAACTAGGTATAGTGATGCAGACCTGTAATATCAGCACTCAGGAGGCAGAGGCAGGAAGATTGGAGAGTTCTGTGTCAGCCTAGGCTACATATTGAGTTCCAGGCTAGCCTGAGCTGCTAAGTAAAACCTTGTCACACAATAAGTGCTGTTTACCTAGCATGCATGAGAGAGAGAGTTAGTTTAGTATATACCCTATCCTTAAAGAACTTTAGCTAGTGGGGCCAATTTTTAATATTTTAATTATAGGACAGGCTAAGTAGGGGATAGGGAATGTCCAGCCTTAGAGCCATATAAGGCCCTTAAAATCGTTTAGTATTTGACAGAAGAGACACATAAAGATGCCATTTGCCTGTACTGATAATTTGGTAAGGCCTGAGAATTATGTGATAAATATCCACCCCTTTGGCTCAAATTTCCTTGAGCTAAGGGAGTAAACTTTTATTCAGGATCTATCATGTTCCAAGGTAGATGCTTTGTGTTTTTTTCTTTAAATCTTCACCATTGCTCATGGAGTCTTATAAACCCTGATCTATAGTGTAAGAAATTGAAATTCTTTTTTGTGTGTGTGTGCGTGTGTCGGTCGTAGGGCTTGAACTCTGGGCCTGGGTGCTGTCCCTGCGCTCTTCAGCTCAAGGTGAGCACTCTACCACTTGAGCCACAGCACCACTTCCAGCTTTCTAGTGGTTTATTGGAGATAAGAGTCTCATGGAGTTTCCTGCTTGGGCTGGCCTTGAACCATGATCCTCAGATCTCAGCCTCCTGAGTAGCTAGGATTACAGGCATGAGCCACCAGGCGCCTGGCAAGAAATTGAAATTCTAAGGTAGATGACTTACCCAAGGTCACACAGCCCTTGAAGGGCAGAGCAAGAACTGACATCAAGTCCTTTACCATCAATCTAGTACTCTTGGATCCCCAAAGGATGTTCTGGGGAGAAGGACTGTTTGGATATTAAGTGTCCAGGGAGTGGGGCTAAGGAAACATGAAACAGTCCAGGTGCCAGGTAGGGAGCCATGCCAAAATCAGCATGTGCCTGGGTCCCCTGGGCCCCAGAGGAAGAGTGTTCCAAAGGCTGCTTTTGCCAGTGCATGGATGGAGCAGGGCTGCTCCTTGCAGTGGGCCCGCTGCCCCCAGGGAAGAGCATGTTTGTCCTGGCGTTTACAGAGAGGGCCTGGGCTGGGTCTCTGCCAAGGGGGCTGGCACTAGCTCGGCATTCCTGCAGATTGGACACAATGATTCTAACCCAAATCCCACATATTTGATTTAATCACTTGGGGCTTTAGGGGAGGCGGGGGAGAGGGAAAGAGAGAAGAGTGAGTTTCAAGCCTAATATGGACAAAAAGAGATTCTGCCTTCTCTTTAGATCTGTGACGTGCAGCCAGCAGGTTTGGAGACTGAAATAGTCCCATCTGCATCTGCTTAGCAGTCTGCATGAGGGGCCAGCACCTGCTGCTCTGTTCCCTCCCCACTGGGTCTTGTCAGACCCTCCAGGCCTGAGTCCAGAGGCAGTCATAGACTACTGCCAGCCCCTTGTGGGACTATCGACTCTCCCAGCCTCCTTGCGGGGGCTGTAGGCCTGAAGAGCCCATAGGCACATCTCCTTTACCTACCTTTTTTTTTTTTTTTTTCCTGTCGGTCATGGGGCTTGAACTCTGGGCCTGCACACTGTCCCTCAGCTCTTCAGCTCAAGGCGAGCGCTCTACCATGACTTGAGCCACAACACTACTTCTGGTTTTCTGAGTGGCTTATTGGAGATAAGTATCTCACAGACTTTCGTGCCCAGATTGGCTCAACGCAGTCCTCAGATCTCAGCCTCCTGAGTAGTTAGCATTACAGGCATGAGCCACCAGGCACCAGCTTCCTTTACCTACCTTTTAAATCCCTCTTTCTTTTTTGCCTGATAGCATACCTTTATCCTGTGTCTTTGTATCTCTTTCCCTCTCTGCTTGTCAGAAAATGAGCAGGCTTTGGAGGTAAGACAGAAAAGACAAAGGCCAAAATGACTCCTGACTGCACAGCCTCTGTTTATATAACCTTAGGGAATGGCTTCATCTATTTTTTTTTTAACTTTGTGGCCTCATCTGCAAAATAGAGAAAATAGAGGTAATCATGCCTCCCCTTCTGGGTGTGCAATTTGTCTTCCTAGAATGAGGTTGAATTAAGGAAGAGGAAAAAGCAGCTGAGGAGAGGGGACATTTTGTAGAATTTCCCCTGTTGGGAGCATAAAGCTACATGTCTTGCTCTTAGTGAGAATCTACTTAAGTCCTCTAGGATGCCAGCCTTTTGGATCTAAACCCACAAATCACCCTGTAGCCTCTGCCAAACTGCTCTGTCCTTTGCCAACCACTGTCAGTGTCCTACTAGTAGGAGAGGCTATGTGGTGCTTGGTAGGAGCCTGGCACCTTGGCCTGAAAAAACCCAATGCCTGTCCCTGAAGAATAGCACCCTGTCTTGGGGGACCTGGTTGTGTTTAGGGGTTGCTTGGAGTCTTCTACTAGAGAACAGTACTTAGACCTCAGTTCCAAATAATAATAATAATAAATAATGTAATTCATGCATTCTCTGTGTGTGTGTGTCTCTTTCTTTTTCATCCTGGCCCAGCCAAGCGGGAAAGGGCCTCGATTGCCAGAGGTGTACTGTGTCATCAGCCGCCTTGGCTGCTTCGGCTTGTTTTCCAAGGTAAGAGACTCTGGCTTCCTCCCCAGCTCCCAGCTGACAGCTCCCATAGGAATGGCTGCAGCCAGCCAAGATGAGAAAACCACCTGTGTAGAGCGGGTGAGAGAAAGAGAATTCAAGAGCAAGCACAAGTGAGCTCTCTCCTTATTTCCAAACCTGGCTCCTTACCTAGCTGGCTGGCATTCCCCCAGCATCTATGCTAACAGTGTCTGTTTATTTCAAAGCCCACCCTGGGCTGTGGACAGAGCCAGTGTCCTTGGGAGAACCAGGAGGGCCCAGGAAGCTGACTGTCAGCTGGTGTTTCCTTGGCTCAGCTGCTCCACTCTAGGGAACTGAAGCAAGGCCAGTAAGCGGGAAAGAATAGTCACTGAGTGCCAAGGAAAATGGGAAGGGTGTAAAGATCCTGGCAGGACAGTCCTCCCATCTCCTGGTCTTCAGCCCAGCTTGGGGAGATATCAGGCTGCTTAGGATGTAGAAAGGCAGCTCCTGACACCCTTTCTCTTTGGGCTCTTGGTGGTGGGCACAGGTCCTAGATGAGGTGGAACGCCGGCGTGGGATCTCCGCTGCATTGGTCTATCCCTTCATGAGAAGTCTTATGGAGTCGCCCTTCCCAGCCCCAGGGAAGACCATCAAAGTAAAGACTTTCCTGCCAGGTGCTGGCAATGAGGTAGGGACTGCTGCTGCTCTTCTTTCCAGCCCTTGCGAGGACTGGAATTGAACCTGGCCAGCCAGCATTGCAGCCTGTGGGAGGTGTAGAATGCATACCTCCCTCCTCCTTGCTCACCGTTTCACAGGACTGAAAGTAAACCATGGAGCGCTGAATATTGCCCAACTCTTTGCTCCTTCTGGGAATCTTCCCTTACATGTTAGATAAAATAGCACCCCAATTACCTTCCTTTTGTCCACATACCAAATATTTACTGTATATACCCACTCTCCCACAATCAAGGATTGTGCCTGCTTTGGGCAGTGTCATAAAGTTAAGAGGACAGAGCTCTGTCCTCCGTGAGTTGCTAGTCTAAGCGCAGAGTGTAACAAAGGGTCTGCTTTAGGTTAGGGGGCCAGGAAGGGCTCTGCTGAGAAAGTACAAGTTTACCTGGCACCTCAGCAGTGATTAGAGGCAGCAAAGTGAAGCAGGAAGAAGGAGATAGATTGAAGGAGAAGAAGGTGGATGGGAGATTATTTCAGGGAGCTGGAACAGAGAGTGCACAGACAAGAATGTGGGAGGTGCATAGGCTGGTCAAGCAACTGAAAAAAGGCCAACGTGGTAGAAAGGGTGGTAAGGAGGGAAGGGTAGATGGGCCAGGCACCAAACCACAGTGCTCCTGCCAGGCCAAGTTAAAGGCTTTGGATTTTATCTAAGAGGGTTAAGGTAAGATCTGATAGGTTTTTAAAAGGTTGCTTTGGCTACTGTGCAGATAATAGGATGGAGTAAAAACAGAGAGATTAGCTGTAGTACAGTAAGGCAATAGATGATTGTAGCCGGAGTCAAGGCAGAGACACAGATGGATTTGAAATGTGTTTTAGACTTAGGAGCAGTGATGCGTTGTGTTTGGTAGGAAGGGGAAAAGTAAGTGTGAGGACCAGGTTTCTGGTCTGAACAACAGGTTAGGTGATGGAGCCAAAGCTTGATCTGGGAGCATGTGAAGGAGGGGCCATGATGAAGAAGAGGAAGTATTCAGTTTTGTACCTGTTACTATTTTAGTAAATAGTGAAGAGATAGAGCCCAGGAATAGGCCATCCTCAGTACTGCCATGGAGCAGTGTCAGATTAATTTGGAAGACATAGGAAGTGAGGAGGAGGGAGCAAAGTTGTTACTTAGGAAGCGCGTTGTAAACAGTGACCAGGTACTATCCCAGGTCAGGCTGGGGTCTAGGGGCCCAGAAGCCTCTCTGTGTGTGTGTGTGTGTGTGTGTGTGTGTGTGTGCGTGCAAGTGCAAGTGCAACTTGTATAGACAGCTTTTCACTGGGATTGGCTTTGAAGCCAACTAGGAAAGGAAACAGTCAAAGGAAACGGGGAGCAAGAAGTTGGTGAAAGATGTGTGGATGCTAGTGTGAATGGCCCCAGAAGAAGAAGTTAAGGTTACAGGAGAGGAAGGAAGATATACTCATTGAGAAGGTACAGTGTGCTTCACTGGAAGACTGGCTTTTATTAGGAGAAGAGGGAAGGCTTACAGATTTTGATTCTCATCTGATGGCTTTGTTTTTCTCAGAAGGGCATCCTCTGAGAGCAAGACATGAGAGTTAGGTTCTAGAAAAGGGAAGGGTTCAGTTCATGTTGCTGAGAGAGAGGGAGACTGACTTGAGATGCATCCTCTGTTAGAGGGACATTAGGCTAGTAGAATAATCTTGGGGTGGGACAGCTGAGTTCTTTAGATCTGGTCTGCCACCTTCCAGGCTTCATTTCTCATCTGTCTGATTTGGGTTCTTCTTGCTCCTGGTTGCTTTTGTACAGAAGACATTTCCTCTCGTCTCTGAAATCCAAGTGAAGCAACTTATTTATGGAGTTGTTTCCCTGACTCTTCACCTGCCCTGCACAGATGTTAATTGCCCCCTTTCTTTCTCTTTAACACAAACCTGTGGACCATGATAGGTTAGGCTCACTCAGTCCCATGAGGATTCAGTTTCCTCTCAGGAGGAGAGCTTTGGGACCGGAAAGGATGCAAATGGCCTCTGGTATAATTATGGTGTGGCATTCCCTCTGCCCACAATTACTGCGCACTTACAGCGGCCTCCTCAGTACTGTGCTAATCACTGGACCTTCCAGGAGTTTAGCATTGGCAGGAGAGGCAGGGTAAGACTGGTCATTGTTTCCTTTTTGCTGTTTTTCTGGGGTTCAGAGGGATATATACTGAGTTAGAAGTTAAAATTCCTTTACTTGCTTAAATTCCTAAAAACGAATGAGATTGGGTGGATATAAGCCTCTGGAGAAGAGTTTACTTTGACATCTTAGGACTATAAGAGGGAATTTGTTTGTCACCCCAATTTTCAGGAAGCCCTCACATACCTGCTACTCACAGATGCTGAGAGACCAAGCATGAGACTAGGAGGCTCCAGTTGACATCTTTGGCACAGCTTCATTGTTAGCTGTTTCTCTTGCTATCACTCCTAGGGTTCTTTGATACCCTCACCTCTACCCACTGTCCCGAAAAGTAGGTTTCAGGGTCAGAACAGTCTAGGATTGTTCTGGCTATTCTATGACGGAGACAGTCCTGTCTGACAAGATCTTTGGAATAGCTAGCCTTTCCATGTGTTTTCCTCATCCCTGGCATAAAGCTTAGGATGACAGAGATAAAGGCAGGATGGCAAGACAAACAGCCTCTGGAAGGAAACTTCCTGGCAGGAAAGGGTGGGGACATGACAATAAGGATAACATCATTGCCTTCCCAGTGATAGCTGAGACCAGAGCCCTGGGATGTGGAGACACAGCTCTTCCTGTGGCCTATGGAGCAAGGATGGATTGTGGGATCTAGTCAGGGCGGAGGCCAAGCTCTTTGCCTGGGGAAATAGGCCAGAGGGAGGGGTTCATGAAAATATGAGCCTGTGTGCCTTCCCCATTCTCTTTAGTCAAAACAGAAATCAGTTCGCCCTCTCCCCCACCCTTTCCTGAGAGTCTGCATTGGGGTGCCTCTGCCCTGTTGTCTCCATGTTTGGTTAGCCCTCTTGTGGGAGCAGAGCTAAAGTCTGAGCAGAGGGGAGACTGTACCTTCCTGCCGAGTAGAAAGATTCTAGAGACCCTTGGAAGGAGAGGGTGGGAAGGGAAACCAACCTGCAGGTGCTTTGTGGGTGGCCCTCACCCACCTGGCCTTTGCCTGCCCATTTCTTTTGTTCTCCCATAGGTGTTAGAGCTGCGGAGGCCCATGGACTCCCGTCTGGAGCACGTGGACTTTGAGTGCCTTTTTACCTGCCTCAGTGTGCGCCAGCTTATCCGAATCTTCGCCTCTCTGCTGCTGGAGCGCAGGGTCATTTTCGTAGCAGATAAGCTCAGGTAGAGCCTAACAGAAACAAGAGGGGGGAGGGCACACTCACTAACAATCACCAAATTTCTACCAGTCCTAGTGTATGTTATATACTATTGCACTGGTATATGGTGATGTGTATGTGGGGGGGCTATGTGTGCGTGCATGTGCATATGCATGTTTGTGCACTGAGAAACACATCAAGTAGGAAAGAAGGATTAGAAAACTTGGAATGTGATGAAGGGTTTGGGAGCACAGAGGCTGGCAGGATTGGGAATCCAGTGAAGGGTTAAACATGAGAAGAGGGGGAAGCAGCCATGAGTGTACCAGTGCACCAACATTAATATGGAGAAAGGTAAGAGATGTGTAAGCTTGGTGGTACACTCCTTTAATCTCAGCTAATCAGGATGCATAAGCAGGAGGACTATGCATTTTGAGCCCCCCCCCCTCCGGGTACAGTTAGTAAGACCCTATCTCAAACACAAAGCATGGCCAAGTGGTAGAACACTGCCTAAGCAAACCTGAGGAGGCGCTGACTTCAATATCTAGTGCTGCAAAAAACGAAACAGTAACAGCAGTAACAAAAAAAATAGTGTCTGGACCATGACTCCGTGTGTGTGTGTGTCTGTGTGTGTGTGTCTGTGTGTGTCTGTGTGTGTCTGTGTGTCTGTGTGTGTCTGTGTCTGTGTGTCTGTGTCTGTGTGTGTATATGAAATGGAAGCTGGCTTCACGCTTGTAATACTAGCTACTCAGAAGGCTGTGATCTGAGGATCACAGTTCCAAACCAGCCCAGGCAGAAAAGTCCATGAGACTCTTGTCTGGAATAAACTACTCAGAAAAAGCTGGAAGTGGTGCTGTGGCTCAAATGGTAGAGTGCAGCCTTGAACACAAGAAATTCAGGGACAGAGTCTGGGCCCAGAGTTCAAGCTCCAGGACAGGAGAGAGAGGGGGGGAGGGAGAGGGAGAGGGAGGGAGAGAGGTGTGTGCGTGCTGGTAGTGGCCCTTTCCTTCAGGAGGAGGCAAGGCTGCCTTTGTGGGATGCTGAGTTGAAGGCACAAAAGCCATCCAGTGAGGGCCTGTGAGGTGCCCTTGGTGGGAGCCCTGGAGTTGTGGAGAAAGGCCAGGTAAAGGGTTGCGGCTGTGGCTGTGGGCAGAAAGGTGGGTTCAGGAAGACTGGCTGTCAAACCACAAAAGAGAAGATGGCTAGAGACTAGAGGGGCCTATGAGCTGGTTTAGGAAGGGTAAGAAACAAGCAAGATGAGTTCTAGGACTTGGTCCAGAGTGTTGGCATTTATGATTTCACAAGTGGAGGTCCCCATCTGGGATGTGGTGGCAGAAGTGACTGTCATTGGTCATGAGGCATTCTAGGAAGAAAGAAGTCCGGCTCTTCTTGATAGCTGCGGGTTTCTTTATTTTTGTTTTCTAAATAACAGGTTAGGGTTGATTAGGCTGGAAGAGGATGGGATGTTGGTGATACCTTGTTCTTTATGTCATAAATTTGGTCACAAGCAGTGGTATTCTAGAGTGAGATTGATTAGTCCCTTAGCCATTCTACCTGCTATGTGCCTGCATGCATGTGTGTGCGTGAGTATATGAATGTATGCGTGAGTGCATGTACGTGTGTGTGTGTGAGTGTGAGTGTGAGTGAGAGACTGAGATGAAGGCAGAAAGAAAACAGCCTTTCAATGTCTGGTTTCCCAGCAATTCCAACTCCCAGGTCATTTTCGACTGTCTGCATGAGGTGAGAATAGAGAGAAACAGGTGAGATGCCCCCCTCAGTATTTCTCATGGGGCACTGGGGCAGGAACCCAGGCCCACCTGCCAAAACTAGAGCCACTGAACTTTCCAGAGGTGGCCACGGGTTAGAAATGATGACGCGTCCTCTTAAGTTCCTGTCCCAGGCCCAGTGCTTCCGTGTCTGTCAGTGTAGGTGTTCCATGACACAGTGTGAAGGGGCCTCTCCAGGTAGCTGGAACCAGCTGCAGGAGCAGCTCCCGGAGCCCCACCCCTGCCACTTTCAGCCAACAGTAGAGCCCTGCCTTGGCCAGACCACAGTGGACTCTGACAGACCCTGAGATTCTGTTTCTGAAGATTTTACCCCCCACTCAGGCTGAGCCTCCTCTTTCCACCCCCCACTCCAGCTCTCCTAGGGCTATGAATACAGCTATTGTTTCCTGTGGCTTGCAGCTGCCTCTGAACACATTCCAGGACCATTCTGGGAGGAAAATAGCCCAGGCTCCTGTTCTTCTCCTGCTCAGCATTCAAATTCTGCCAATCTTCAGACTTATAAAGGATGTGCTCAGAGTTTACCTCAGACTAGAGAGGGGAGAGGTGGGATGGCACATGGACCTAAACCTTGGTGATTCAGCCACCTTCCTCCAGCTTATGTCCCGTTGTTCTTTCTCTTCTCCCCCCCACCTCCATAACTTTTATATTTCTGGGATGAACCTGGCTGAACTGCTCAGAGAGCCCAGGGCTGATTGGGGGTGGGGGGAAGACATTGATGCAGAGAGAAATGCAGATTTGAAAAGGAGCTGTGTTGCTCAGGGTGCTTCTTGCTCAGCCCTCAAGTAGCTGGGACATTAGGTGTGTGTCCCAGCAACTCTCCTCCTGACAGATGTGGGGGATGCCCTTCAGACTAAGTGTGTCTCATGTTTTTCTGGCATCCCACACACACCAGGCCCTGCACATTTCTGCATGTGCAAGCTGGTATCCCAGCAATTGTACTTGCTTCTCATCTGTGCTTGGGAAGCCCTGTGGGACTTCTGAGACTGGAAGCCTGGAGCCCCCTTGAGGCCAAGAGAAGGATAACCCCACTGAGACCTGAGAGGAAAGAAGGGTACTTTCAGCCTGATTAGAATGGTACCTGCACGCTGGGAAGGTGGCTCAGTGGTAGAGCGCTTGCCTTGCATGCCTGAGGCCCTGGGTTCGATTCCTCAGCACCACATAAGCAGAAAAAAAAAGCCGGAATTGGCGCTGTGGCTCAAGTGGTAGAGTGCTAGCCTTGAGCTGAAGGGCTGAGGGACAGCGCCCAGGCCCAGAGTTCAGGCCCCATGACCGGACCAAAAAAAAAAAAAGAATGGTACCTGCGCTTCACTCCCTGTTTAGTCAGACCTGTTGCCAGATGAGGAGAAAGGAGTGAGCAGTTAGAGGACAGAGAAGTAGAAGTGGTTCTAGGTTGAAAGACACCAAAACTGTGCCCCAGCTCTACTCCTTATAACCGAAGTTACTATTTTTTAAATCATGGGCCCCAGTGGTGAAATGCCCCAGCTGTGACCTTCCTGCTCCTGGACACTGTGGATTTGTGTTACCTCTTGCTGTCTCAGCCTTTGTGCCCCCAGTCTGAACTGATAGCCCCACTAGCTGGGATCTGCTAGTACCTTCTGGTTATTCTTTGTGTGTGTCTTTTGTATGTTCAAGTGGTGCTGCAAACCTCTGTGGCTGTATCTTTTTTTTTTTTTTTTTTTGGTCGGTCGTGGGGCCTGAACTCTTGGCCTGGGTGCCATCCTTGAGCTCTTCAGCTCAAGGTTAGCGTTCTACCACTTGAGACACAGTGCCACTTCCAGCTTTTTCTGCTTATATGGTGCTGAGGAATCAAACCCAGGGCCTCATGCATGCAAGGCGACAAGCACTCTACCACTGAGCCCCCTTCCCAGCCCCAGTGGCTGTATCTTGGTACAGTCTCCAATGTGTCTAGCATTGGTGTCCATGAGGCCATGAGCAATGGTCAGATGTGTGTGTGTGGGGGGGGGCTCTGCCTCTTAAAGATCAATCCCCAAGTCCTTTAGTCCCATTAGCATCTTTGTTGCATTGGAAGTGTGACATAAAAGGATGTCCTGAGCCTCCAGCAGGCTTTTAACTATCCTTCTTCAAGGTACTGGGCCTGGACTGGTCAGGAGATAGACCTGGGCTCAGGGACTCTGTCTCTCTGTCTATCAGTACCCTGTCCAGCTGCTCCCATGCTGTGGTGGCCTTGCTCTACCCCTTCTCCTGGCAGCACACCTTCATTCCTGTCCTTCCGGCCTCCATGATTGACATCGTCTGCTGTCCCACCCCTTTCCTGGTTGGCCTGCTCTCCAGTTCCCTTCCTAAACTGAAGGAACTACCTGTGGAAGAGGTAGGCCATGTGGAGAACCAGCTTGGAGGGATGGGTGGGGACCGAGACCTCAGGAGGTCAAGGTGGGGAGAGAGAAGGTTGCTGGGATCTTCCTCCTGGGCTCTCCAGGCCTCTATTTAGCTCTGTCCTTTCTCCTAGTGGGTGGGTGGATCTATCTCTGGTTGGATTTTTTTTTCCTGTCTTCTGTCCCTGGGTAAATGGAGATTTGGGGACCTGTTAGAGGCCTTTGCAGAACTCATTCTCTGAACCCCACTGCCTCTAATGACTCCTTTTTTCAGGCGCTGATGGTGAATCTGGGATCTGACCGATTTATCCGGCAGGTAAGAGCTTTAAGGCTGCAGAACCTCAGCCTGCTCCAGTGGGCTCCAGTCTAAGAACAGTGGGCTCTGTTAGACAGGCCCCCAAGCACTCCACTCCATCATAGAAGTCAGTCTCCTGGTCTGTGTGTTGAGTTCCAGGTTCCATGCTCACAGAGTAGACAGGGGTGGGGAGATGCTGACTTGGGAACCCTTATCCTCAACAGGATCTGCCTTTCTGGTTGGTGTCATTGCCTTCGGAAGGCAGTATTGGAGTATGAAGCACAGAGTGTAGAAGTCTGGGCTTTGCCACCTTAGAGCCACATAATCTTGAACAGGCCTCACAACTATGAGGCAGTGCTCTTATCTGTGAAATGATGGTGATGATAGCACCTGCCTTGAAGTATTCTGGGGATTTTATAAACAGTACTAGAGTGTGCTTTGTAATGTGAAGGTTGGCAGCCATTATTGCCACCTGCCAAAAGCCTGTTGATCATGGCAATTCTCCTGGCTTCTTACAAATGAGCGTAATAGTCTATTATACAGAATCTATTACACTGCAGCATTACAAGGCTTCAAGATGTGGCTACAGAGTCTGAAGTTACTGAGACGCAGGCTGTGGCACAGTCTCCCTGTACCTCCACATGGAGCTGAAGACAAAAGGAATAGGAGAGACTTCAGTCAGGGCTTCGCATGCAATAAATGCTTGTCACTGTCAGCTGTGGTTATCACAGTGTCTTCCTTCTCCTGCAGATGGATGATGAAGACACATTGCTACCCAGGAAGTTGCAGGCAGCTCTGGAGCAGGCTCTAGAGAGGAAGAATGAATTGATCTCCCAGGACTCTGACAGCGACTCTGATGATGGTGAGGGAAGCTTTCCTAAGCAGAATCTCTCTGGTCTCAGGCTTCTTATGTTCTGGGTCTGGGCTTCATGAGTCCTGGACCCTATTCCTATGCATCAGACCCTTTTTAGGTGATGAGGCTCCAGGTATAGGACCTTGGTCTCACTCAGTACCTGTTTTCTTTTTTTTCTGGTACTAGGGTTTGAACTCAGGGCCTCGAGCTTGCTAGGTCAGCACTACTATTTGAGCCATACCCCCAGCCACTTTTTGCTTTTAGTTGTTTTTCTAACAGAGTCTTGTACTTTCTGTCCAGGTGACCTTGATCTTTACCTTCCTTTTTATGCATCTCACATAGCTGGAGTGAAAGTTACACACCACTACACCAAGCTTTTATTGGTTGAAATGGGGGTCTCACTGTTTGCTTAGGCTTGCGGTGAGCTGTGATTCTTCTCATCTTTGCCTCCCAAGTATTTGGGATTACAGGCCAAAGCCACTATGCCTGGCCCCTTGCATGTTTTCTACCTTAGGATATTTGGGAAGGAAAATGCAAAGGCAGCACAGCTACAAAGACTGGTCCTTCCCTTTGGGTTTTCCTTCAAGCCATTACAGAAGCTGGAAGGCCCTTCCTTTGCCTCAGAGGCTAGGAAAGTAGTAGTATATTGGTCGCCAAGTTCTACTTTAAATCATTCATTCATTCATTCATTGTCTGCCAGCTTCCCTGTTCAGAGCAGTTTCTGACCTCTAGGAGCTTTTCATGTAAGCACACAGGATCATTTCAAGAGCAAAAAGTGCTTGAAGTTTTGCTGGGAGAAGGGAAGCCGTCGACTGGGCTTCTGTAGGCTCTTGATCTAACCCTCGTAGATTTTCTTTTCTCTTCCAGAATGTAATACCCTCAATGGACTGGTATCAGAGGTGTTTATCCGGTTCTTTGTGGAGACTGTTGGGCACTACTCCCTCTTTCTGACCCAGAGTGAGAAGGGGGAGAGGGCCTTTCAGCGAGAAGCCTTCCGCAAGTCTGTGGCCTCCAAGAGCATCCGCCGTTTTCTTGAGGTTTTTATGGAGTCTCAGATGTTTGCTGGCTTCATCCAAGATAGGGAGCTACGGAAGTGTCGGGCAAAGGGTAAGGTCTGAGGGTATGTGTGTGTGCACACGCACACATGCGCGTGTATGGGTGTGTGATGAGCCTTCTCTAACCTTTATGTCACAGGCAGAGTTAAATAACCAGGCACTGTGATGGTAGCTCTTTGGAATCAGAGCCAGGCATCTTCTTTTTTTTTTGGTGGTACTGGGGTTTGAAATTTATACTAGGAGCCTCAAGCGTGATAGACAGGCACACTGACACTTGAGCCCTGCTCCAGCCTTTTTAGTTACTTTTCATGTAGCTTTTGTAATTTTTACCTGGGGCCACCCTCCAACTGTGACCTTCCTGCTGATGCCTCCTATGTAGCTGGGAGTACAAGCATACATCATCACAGCTAGCGGGCCCAGCTTCTTAATCCCCCTTCTTCTCTGATAGAAAGTTGCAAAGGAGTGAAGTTCTCTTGTCCTACTAAATGTCTTTACTAGGCATGCACGGGTGGAGGCAGGAGGCAAGACAGCAGGACTTTTACATACCTCAGAGCAACTTGCCTTTGATTGCCCATCTCTTTCTCACATGTCATTATTCATTAGCCAAGGACTAGATCCAGTGATATGGGGGCTTTTGATGTCCCAAGGGGCTGGGAAGTCCCTTGAGGAGGATTGGGCTGTTTTACATGGTTATTTGATCTCTAGTTATTGGTTCTCTCTAGGGTTTGTCTTTTCCAGACCTTTGTGTCTAACCTCAGGGATATTGTTTCTTATTCCCACTAATATTACTCAATTTAGTTTGATAAACCTTTTAAACCACCATGTAAGAGTTTATAAAGGAAGCTAGAGGCACCTATATGGAGGCTGCTCTGAATAGCAGGGTAGCCTCATCACTCTACAGTTCACACATGTGCATTCAGCAGTGGCAATCTGTGGTGACCACTAAAAATCACTGGCTGAGCCTATAGACTTCTAGTAACTGTTCTCCTCCCTGGTTCCCTTTTTCCTCTTCCCCAAGGCCTCTTTGAGCAACGAGTGGAGCAGTATTTGGAGGAGCTCCCTGACACTGAGCAGAGTGGGATGAACAAGTTTCTCCGAGGCTTGGGTAAGCAGTCTTGTTACTAATAAGATTGCTGTGCAGTCAAGGAGGGAAGTCCTGGGTTTTCTACACCCTAAAATACTCTAAAGTAGTGCCAGCAGGTAATTATTCAGGAGCTGTAGACAGAGCTGGAGGGGAGCCTTTAGTGCATGAAGACCAAGTGCCCAAGCTAGTGCTCCTAGGGCATTTAGCACAGGATTGATCAAGCTGCAGAACAAAGTGAAACCCAGTCATCACATAAGTTGGCTCTTTCTGGATATACACCTTCCTGAGTCAAATGAGGACCACTAGGGACAATGAGCTTTTCTCTAGGTATAAAGCCTATGGAGCAGCAGTGTCCCGCCTGCAAAGTCCCACTCCTTCAAAGTCACTGAGATCACAGGCCATCAGTATCTCAGTTTAAAGGAAAGCTGAAGTCAAAGAGGGTTAAATAGTTTACCCCAATCATAGGTTTGAATGTCAGTGCCTGAATTAGTGTCTTCATCACCCAGATTGAAGAAGGGTAGGATGGCTGGCAAGACGGTAGTAAAGGTCAGAAGTGTATTGAAACATTCTCTCTTCTCTCTGGCTAACAGGCAACAAAATGAAGTTCCTCCACAAGAAGAATTAAAAACACCTTTCCCAGTAGCGGGAGTCCAGTGCCTCAAAGGGTGGTGGGGAGAGGGCTCAGCTTGGGACCCTCTGGGCTGCTGTGGCTGCTCTGCCCCGCCCCACAGACCCCACCTCCAAGCCAGCCCACCGCTGCCTTCACCACATCCCAGGATACTGTTTGTAAATAATCTGCTATTAGCCTTCTTAACTGTTTTTGTAACATGCAAAGAGAATCTGGTAAATATCTGTATATTCCCAAGGGGCTGGGTGCTTTTCCGCCTTGCCTGAGAATGGATGGAGTGTTGCTGGGTGCTGGTGACTGGCCAATTATGTGCAGCTGACTGTCTCAGCCGAACCACTGATCTTCCCTGGAGGCTTCTGGCCTGCCTGCCTGCCTTCAGCCCCTGCTGCCAGTCTCGGGCCCTGGAGAGCAGACACTGTCTTGTTATGTACAGGAGGACTATTATTTTTAATCTTAGAGTTTCTATTTTTTTTTTCTGGTAGTCTCCTCCCTCTAGCCTGTTTTTGAAAGGCAAAGTTTATTTGTCTCCATTTGCAGCATGGAACCAGGTTCTGGACCTGGTGCCGAGATGGTCAGTGAATTATGGGACGCCCACCCTCAGCTCTGCCTGTGTGCTCTCTGGGCTCTGCTCCCAGCCAGTGGTGGCCACGTGGCCATTGATGCGGTACAGGGCATTCCCTCCTTCCCACCATCAACAAGTGTTCTCAATAAACAGTGTACAGCCATTTGGGCCCAAGAGCCCCATGTGTTCCCTGGCTTCATTATCTTGAGTTCTGGGAATGGGCTGAGAAAATCAATCGGGGATACAACGTCATGTGAGCAATGAATGAGTGGGTTATCTTCAGTATGAGTTCACTGACCTCCCCTAAAATTGAATTCTCTGGCTTGATTTCTATGAGTAGACCTTGAAATCACCAACTATTGTTTGTTTCACTTCCTTCTCCAGTAGCTAGCTGTTCATTCACATTTACAGTGATGGGAAGAATGCTCTTTAGCACTACTAGGTGATATCAGGATGTCCTGACATTTGTGGCCCAGCTAATGGCCAGGCCTGGGCTTCGTTACAGCCATGACCCATTAACAATGATTTTTTTTTTTTGTGGGAGGGGGGGTTGGTAATGGGGCTTGAACTCTGGGCCTGAGCGCTGTCCCTCAGCATTTCAGCTCAAGGTTAGTGCTCTACCACTTGAGCCACGGTGCCACTTCCAGTTTTCTAGTGGTTAACTAAATATTTAAGTTTGTCTTTCCTGCCCAGGCTGGCTTTGAACCACGATCCTCGGATCTGTCTCCTGAGATTACAGGCAAGGGCCACCAGCTCCAAGACCGATCATTTCTCAATCTCCCACTTTTACTGAGGCCCCAAGAACTTTAACACATGTGATCAAATCATAAGACATTCTTCTAAGTTTTTCAACTTTTGTTCCTTAGGTAAATCTCAGAGGAATGTTTCCTTCCTCACTGCTGGGGCTGCAGCGTGAAAACCCACACTGGCCACACCCACTTAGAATGGGCTCTCAGGGCCCATTGAGTGATTGTATGGCATGGCACAGAAGCCTTAGGGGAGAGGAGATTCTGAGTACAGTGTATGTCTCATGTCTTAAGACTTCTCAAGTTCTGCTTCCACAAAGCTGTCCTCTCGATTCCTAAACTATGGATTCTGAACCATCAGATTTTTAAATAATAAATGCTATAAAAATTGCCCCCCTAATATCTTGAGATGAGATTCATAGTTAATGTGGCTTAGAAATAGCTTACTTTTAAGAGAAATCCAAGGGAAGTACTTTGTTATTAATGCGTGTGTAAATATGGCTCAGTGGTAGAGCGCTTGTCTTGCATGCCTGAGGCCCTGGGTTAGATTCCTCAGCACCACATAAGCAAAATGAAAAGAGCCAGAAGTGGCGCTATGGCTCAAGTGGTAGAGTGCTAGCCTTGAGCTGAAGAGCTGAGGGACAGTGCTCAGGCCCAGAGTTCAGGCCCCACAACCGAACCTCCCCCCCCAAAATAAACCCAGTCCCAGTAGGAAGGTCTGAGTCTCCTTCAGTTAGCCACTAAAAAGCCTGAAGTGGAGCTGTGGCTCAAATGGTAGAACACTAGCCTTGAGCAAAAAAGGGCAGGCCCTGAGTTCAAGCCCCAGTACTGACACCAAAAAAAGAAAAAAAATTCCTATGCAGACTACTAACAGTGCTGAATTAACAACTCCTGCTGAGTAACTTAAAGGTTTCCTTTGTGATTAACAATTTTTGGTAATATTCTGAACAAAACAGTACCAGATTCCTTGATTCAAACAGCAGCTATAGTAAAAATCTATGAAAACAATGGGATGGATTAAGTATCTGTAAGTAGTAGTGTTCTAAGCTAGGTTTTGGTTGTGTAGAACTCACCCTTCTATTACAGGATATCTAATGATTGAAAAACAAGTGAAAATAATGGGACAATGAATTTGTAAAACAGCCAGGCACTGGTGGCTCATGCCTGTAATCCTAGAAACCTAGGCGGCTGATATGAGGACTGCAGTTTGAAGCCAGCATGGAAAGTCTAAGACCCTTACCTTCCCTAAAACAACCAAAAGCTGAAAGTTGCCCTGTGGCTCAAGAAGAAGCATTAGCCTTGCTTGAGCAAAAGCAAATCAGGTTCAGCACCTAGGCCTTGAGTTCAAGCCCTCAGACCAATACCAAAAAATAAGCTATAAAACATTCCCCAAATGGTATTGTTACCATTCAAATGCGTACTTAAATGTCTTTCTGATAATTCCGAGGCAACTCAGATGAAAGGTAATACTGTCTCCTCACAGCAATTGTAAGGGTGTCATCCTACCCCACCCTTGTCTTGCTGTGTAGCCTGAACTTTTCAAACTTAGATCCACCTGCCATAGCTTTTGTATACATCACCCTCACCTGCCTTTATTAAAGATGTGATTTTTGATGCTGGGCAGTCTGTCCCATTCTACCATTTTAATGTTTTTTTAGTAATGATGCTCTAGTAAAACCACACTATGGGTTTTAGAGTACTTGCCAGCATGTATGAGACCCTGCTAGGTTCAATACATACCTTCTGTTTCTATGCTATTTGAACCAAAGGCATAGTTCACAGGGACTATGACTGTTTTGATGCCCAAACGCTAACAGAATAACCAAGACAAGTTTCTAAGGAATGCAGGTACATGGCTTTTCAATGTCATTTAGTTCCGGTTTTACCTGCACTGTGTTGCTGCTTCACATACCATGCCTCATTTGTAATCTTGTCTCTGGGGCATGATTATTAATTTTTTACCATTATAAGGTCAAAATTATAAGACACATTAGTATTCTTTGCACACATCTCAGTAAAGGGTGGGGAGGACTGCTTAACAGTTTAGTGTACTTACATGAGTATTTCAAAACCAGTTCAGTAACTTTATTTGAACAACTTTGCTTTTCAGTATCGCTTTTTTTGTCCAATGTGGGGCTTGAACTCTGGGCATGGGCGCTGTACCTGAGCTCTTCAGCTCAAGTCGAGAGTTCTACCACCACTTTGAGCCATAGGGCAACTTCTGGTTTTCTGGTAGTTAGCTGGAGATGTCTCACTTTCCTGCCCAGGCTGGCTTTGAACCACAATCTCGTATTCCCAGCCTCTTGAGTAGGGTAGGATTGTAGACTTGAGCTGCCAGTGCCAGCTCAGTATCCAGCTTTTGAGAACTAGATTTTTTTTTTTGGGGGGGGGGTCCGGTCGTGGGCCTGGGCACTGTCCCTCAGCTCTTCAACTCAAGGCTAGCACTCTACCACTTGAGCCACAGTGCCACTTCCGGCTTTTTACCTGCTTATATGGTGCTGAGGAGCTGAACCCAGGGCTTCATGCATGCAAGACAAGCGCTGTACCACTGAGCCACCTTCCCAGCCCCAGGACTAGATTCTTTTATGCTTGATTTGAAATCTCATTTGTTGACTCTGCTAAGTTTGGAAGCTGTATTGACTCATCACACCTACAACTGGTTTGAAATACTTTTTGAAAGTACTATTAAGAACTCTTTAGGGCTGGGAAGGTGGCTCAGTGGTAGAGTGCTTGCCTTGCAAGGCATGAGGCCCTGGGTTCAATTCCTCAGCACCACATAAGCAAAAAAGAAAAAAGCCGAAGTGGCACTGTGGCTCAAGTGGTAGAGTGCTAGCCTTGAGCTGAAGAGCTTAGGGACAGCGCCCAGACCCAGAATTCAGGCCCTACAACCAAGCCCCCCTCCCCCCAAAAAGAACTCTTTAAATTAGTACACAACAGTCTGGAATCAGGACCCCAGGAAGAGGCTTTTAAAATTGTTAAAGCATAAGGCATTAAAAAAAACATGAAAAACCAAACAAGAAAATGCCTCACATGATTTGTTTACAGTAGCCATTTGACGTTATCCTTTACCCATTTATATTGCCCTTTAGTATGAAATGGGCATTTGGTTAAAAAAAACCCATATATCACTTTTATTTCATATCTACTTGTACCCAATGGCATACACAAATGTTACTAAGAACTGGAAGAAGGAAAGTGCTGGTGGCTTACACCTGTACTCCTAATCAGGAGACATCTGAAGATCATGCTTTGCAAAGCCAGCCTAGGCAGACAGGTCCCCGTTAGTCATCTCCAGTTAGCCACTCAAAAACTGCAAGTGGGAGATGTAGCTCAAAGTGTTAGAGCTTTAGCTTTGAGCAAGAGCTCAAAAGACAGTGCCCAGGCCCTGAGTTCAAACACCACAATCTACCAAAAACAAAAACACAAAAACCTGGAGGTGAGAAGTAAAAGTTTAAAAGCAACTATGTACTACCTAAAGCCATCTCCCTCACCCTCCAAAGAGAAAATTTCCTTCCTCACTTTCAGAATATTTCTAAGGGGGCCCAAGCATTTTTTAAGCTCAGGGTGTCCTTAATATATTAGGCACTTGCCATCTTTAGAAATGTCTGAGGTTCTGAAAGTCGCCATCATGAAAGTGAGCTTCCTGGTGTAATAAACCAGCTGCCTAAGGGGAAGTATGTTTGCAAGTGTGACCCCCAGGAAATCATGGAACAAAAGAAATTGTCAGGAGAGGCAAATGGAAGTGCCTTGGGAACCAGAATTTATTTCTGGCTGTTTCTGAGTAGGTTAAGTCTGGACTCTAGATGAAGGAAAACCAGCCACCAGACCCTCCCCTCCGAGTACAGGCAGACTTTGCCTATGAGCAGGTTAGTCACACTTTCCTTGCTATATTCTGGCACTCCAGCCAGCCACTTGAGATATAGCACTAAGCCCTGCTTTAGCTGGTTTTTTTTAAAGCCAGCCTCCCGTAATCCTACTCAGGAGGCTGAGATCTGAGGATCACAGTTCAAAGCCAGCGGAGCAGGAAAATCTGCCGGACAACCAGAAGTGGCACCGTGGCTCAAGTGGTAGAGCACTCACCTTGAGCTAAAGAGCTGAGGGACAGCACTAAAGCCCACAGTTCAAGCCCCAGGACCACCACCAACAAAACCCCAAACCAGCATATTCTCACTTTCACTGAAATTATTTGGTAGAAGATGAGTGGCCAAGTAGGAAAAGCTTTGGCCTAAGAACTAAGTCTTAATATCCCTCAAAATCTTGAAGATAAATAACTGCCCCATAAAAAATGTTTTGCAAGTGAAAAAAAATTTCTAACCACAAATAGCTTAGGGCATACTCTCCTACTTGTTGGAGAACAGCTGCCAAGAGTCTTTTAAAAACAAATTCTAATTGTCAACAGGTATTAGGCAGAGGCCATACATTTCAGGATCCATCTGACAGGATCCCAATATACAGACAAGAAGGTAGAGATGCCACTTTAGAACCTTACTCAGACCACAAATCAAAAGGATGTTAAACATTTAATGAACCTCCTATGTGGCTTCAAGCCACCAGGATACAGGCACCCCCAACACCCTTAATCTTCTCCTCAGCTCTTCTGCTGAAGAATTTGGCTTTCACGATGACAGGCTGCTTCGGAAGCTTTCCTTTCCCCAAAACCTTGTAGTAGCCCTAGGAGAGAAAAGAATTTACAATATAGCATAGCAGATATGAACACCCCAAATGTGATAAGAAAAAAAACCTGCCAATCACTCTCTAAAAATCCATGTGGGCATGTTTCTGATCTAGGCATTAATGGGGGCACTGCCATCCCCCATCAGTGAATCAAGACCAGTAGATTCTTTTTGAGAACTCTAGCACACCAAGACAAGTACCATGTCAGGATGTGACTCTAGTCTCAAGCTAAGCAATCTCCCAAAGGACAATCACCCCAAGAATACTGAAAAGTTCTGACCACTAAAATCTCAAGGAACACTAGGAAAAGATTTAAAGCTTAATTTGGATGGGTGTACAGGGATAGGATGAATGGAGTACAATGTATCAGTGGAATAGTCACAATAATGCAGGCCCTGAATAATACTTAGAGAACCTAGAGTTGTACTTCATGACCAGAATAAAACTCTAGCCAAGAAACGAACTTGGTAGGATCAGGGCAATAGGTAAAGTGGTTACTGGTTACAACAATATACAAGTAGCAATGAAGTGAATTGAGAGCATCATTCCAACTGTCCTGAGGAAGACACAGCAAAACATCTGATCAATCTGTGCTGAATTTTCATTTCTTTAAACGTTTTTGTTTTTGGGTCCGGTCGTGGGGCCTGAACTCTGGGCCTAGGCGCTTATCCCTCAGCTCTTCAGCTCAAGGCTAGTGCTCTACCATTTGAGCCGCAGCACCACTTCCAGCTTTTTTTCTTTTTTGCTTATGTGGTGCTGAGGAATCGAACCCAGGACTTCATGCACGCAAGGCAAGCACTCTACCACTTAGCCACCTTCCCAGCCCTGAATTTTCACTTCTCAAAGAGAAAATGGGACCACAACAGGAGTAGGAAATAGTTCTGTTTTGGCCAAACTCAGTTACTTGAGGTTGGTGATCCTACCCAAAGGTGGAATTTCTTAGTGGCTAAGTACAAGACAGATCTCAGGGAAAAGCTTAGTTTAAGGCCAGACAAGGAACTTTACAAAATATCTCACTTACCGATCGAACCACATCAATGATGGGAGCAACTCCAGTCTTGTTTTTGGCAGCATTCACCCGTGTCTGCTCGCTGACCAATGTCCACAATTTATCAAGGTTAACAGTTGGACAAAAACTCTGGTTCCTCTTTAAGTGGTAATGCCTCATACCAACTTTCCCAAAGTAACCTGGGTGACTGGGAAGAGAAGGCAATCACTTTTATAACCTTGTTCCAGTAAGAGGCTTTATCATCTCTGTAGGCACAGCCTTCAACTGCTATGACTAGCACCTAGCAGGCACCTCCCAAAAAAATCTTGTCACTGAAGTACACTACTGTTCAGTCTATGGAAAAAGTACATCTATTACAGATTTCCTCAATTGTCAAAATAAAACTTCTTTCTAATTGATGGGAGATAGAAAAATCCACTTTTCATACATTAACTAGAAGCGTGTCACTAACCTGGTGACTGACTGTGCCACAAAGCACACAGCCAGTGAATAAGGTCAGCATTTATTCTTCGAGGACTCTAGCACACTAAGGCAACAACCGATACCCAAGCGTGACTCTAGCCTCGACAACTGGTTTACCCAAAACAATTACAACTTTCCTAGGCTGTCCGAATTAGTTAAAAGCGAAGTCCAAGCAACTCACTATTTGTCAAAGTTGATCCTGTGGTGATGCATACCACCAGCATTACCGCGTCCTCCCGGGTGCTTCCGGTGCTTGCCTGCAGGAATACACAACTACATGGCTAACACAACCTTCTCTAGGCGCTCATTTCTACGCTCTTGCTTTATGCTCTTCTCAGCCTACGCCTCTTTTCCACGCTCCCCATCACCGCAACCCAACTTTTAATTACCATGCCCCGCGCTTAAAATCTTCTATCCTCCTGCTACTACTAAACCCTTTACAGATCCCTCCAAGAGGAGAGAAAAAAAGCTATCGTAAGGTCTTTCTTCGAACTCACTTCTAAGCTCCCAATCTCCTGACTGAGCGACCGGAACAGAGCCCGGTGGCCGACCAGAAGTTAGCACTTACCGATGCGGCCGTGGCCGTGGCTCACGTGGCCCCGCAGCTTCCGGGTCTTCCTCAGTCTGGATGGCTGTGTACGAAAAGGAGTTCACTAGTAAGGCCTAAGGAAGAAGGGCGGGGGAGAGGGGCGATGCCCGCCGGCCCGCGATGGGCCTCTGCAGGCCGTGCCAGGGCGGCGCCGGGACGAGACCCGGACCCGGGGCCGCACACGCGGCCGCCAGCAGCTCCGGCCCGGACCCACGCCCTCCATCCTGCCCCGAGGCCGGCCACGCACAGCCTGGAAGACGCGCCCCAACCTGGGGAAAGTGGCGGGGAGGCCGGGGAAAGCGGAGCTCAGTGCCACCGGCCGGGAGGAGACGGAGGAAAGAAGAGAACCACCTACCATGTCGGCGGCCGAGACCAAAGAGGGAGGTCTCCGCCGAAGTCTCGCGAGGTATGGAGCCCCGGGAGGGCGGGACTAAGGGACCTCACTTCCGGCTTCGGGCGGGGCTTCGTCGATCTCGCGAGTGTCAGTCTCCTGTGCGCCGCCGGTTCTAAGGCTAGTCCTCTCCTTCCCTGCCGAGTCCTCGCGGCGTGGCGGCGGCGGACCCTCTCAGGACCTTTGTAGCCAGCCGGGTGTACCAGCTCTGGTGCAGGAGTTTGCAGCATGGCATTGCGCGCTGCTTTGGTGCGGCCTGGGTGGGCCTGGCCTTTTTCTAGTCTTGGCCCCGGAACCACTTATGCCTACCCGAAAGGCCTCGGTGACCTCTCAGCCAGATGCCCGGCCTTTGTAATCTCATGTGTTCCCCCTACCCCGTGTTGTTGTTTTGGGGTGGGTGGGTAATGTGGTTTCTTTTTCCAGGTACTGGGGACTGAACCTCGGGCCGCGCGTATCTAGGCCAGCGCATTCCCACTTGGCCGACCTGTGCATTTTTGTTTTTGGAGATAAGGTCTCTTAGAGCTAGCTTCTGGAGGCAGGCCCAGAGCTAGTTCTGTTCCTCTCCCTGACCCCCCAATAGCCGTGATTACAGCGCCACCAGCCCGCCCCTCTTTGTGTGAAGCCCTTGGAATGTTGCAACTTCTCTCGGAATGTCAGGGGCCTTCTGCCATCCCTCCTAAACCGGACATTCCCTTCCTTTCTCCTTTCCTCTTTCTGCTTTCTTCACTGGTGTCCTCTCAAGTTGTAACCACCTGCTAGGCTTCCGGGACCCAGATTCTATAAATTGTTTTTCTAAAGATTACAATTAAATTTTTTTTCCAGAACCTGATTTGTGGTACCCCAGCCCTTTCTTCTGCCTACCCAGTATGGGTGCAAACATTTCCCCTGACTCAATTCAGTCACAGTCACTCACTTGCTCACCTTTACCACCAAAAAATTTAGTGTGATCTTACATACTTGTCAAGTTTCATTTTTCTTCTCTGCTAGTTAAAGGTTTGGTGGTTTTCTCTTAAATTCATGCACTCCCAGTTCCTTGCATGTTCTCTTCAACAAATAAATATTTCTAACCAAAGAGTAGAAAAGACATCTCTTCCATCTCTAGACAGTTCCTTCAGCCAGTATTGAAGATTCCATTCCCTCAATTATCCTCTCAATGTGAGTGTATTAAATTTCTTTGCCTTGCTCTCTTTAGGTAAAGTTTGAGCCAGCATACATTCAGTTTTCCCTGTTTACCACCCTTGCGCTTTCCTTTACAGTCAAGTTCCCCAAAAGAGTAGCCTACAAAGTGTATTTGCTAGCCCCTGTTCATTGTTTAATCCGCTTCGTAACCTTCAGCAAAACAGCTCTTACTAACCTCACCAACCGTCAAAGTGAAGAGACTTACTGAATTCTTCATGTCAATTGTTCTTTCTATTGTACTTTACTCCTTTGACTTCTTTTCCTTCCTCCTACTTCACCAGCTATGCCACCACTTAAATGTTGGCATTTCTTAGTTTGAGTTCTGTTCCTCTTTCCACATAGAAGATCTTGAGTGGCTTCTATTCACATTTCTATTAAGCTCCACACCCAAGATACTCACTTGATTCCTGGCCTTAGACACTACAGACAAATATATCGTGGCAACTGTCTTTGCTCACTGGCACTTTATTTTTTAATATGGAGAGTGACACTATTGTCCATTGACATAATGTTGTCAGATCAGATAATTATTCCCATAGACTCTCTTCCTCTAATTTGCTGTCAACATCTTTTTGTTTCTTTATGAAATTACTTACTCTTTTTTAGCCTTAGCACCATTTTCTTCATTTCTTCATTCAGGCCCTCATCCATTTTTTTTTCTTGTGCTTGTTGTGGGAATTGAACTCAGTGCCTGGACTCTGTCCCTAAGTTGTTTTACTCAAGCCTAGAGCTGTTTTGCTATACAACTTGAACCACAGTTCCACTGACAGCTTTTTGGGGGTGGTAAGTTACTTGGAGTCACCCTATCTTTTGTCTGGAGTTTCTGCAGTCATCCCACCTGCATTCTAAACCTTCGAATTCTTTGTCTTTCACAGAATACAGCCTACCCACAGAATACAGCCTTCCTCCATTTGCCCTTATACAATCTTTTTACTTCAGTCATACTTGGTACCTCTCCATTTTGCTTTTACTCATGCCATTTCTTATACCTGGAATGCTCATCCTCTTCCTGAGTGCATATCTGAAATCTCAACCTGTTAAGGCCCACCTTATATTCTGTTTCTTCTAAGAACACTCTAGTCCACAGTTGTAATAGCCCCAATATCTTCAAAGCACCTTACTGTTTATAAAATCTCAGTGTGCAGTACTCCCAGCCTCAATTTATGCAGAAGAAAACAGGCATAGAAGAAACAGTGTAGTGACTCATCAGAGGCAACATAGCTGGTAAAGTACAGAGCCTGGGTTTCTCCCTGCTTTTACTTCACTGACCACTCCCCCTCTGACCTCACAACATTATGCTCTTCATCACTCCTTCAGTCTTAGTCTATGATCAGCAGAAAGGTAGACAAGGTCTAAGAAGAGATCATCTTCATTTGACATCAAAACTGGCCTATAAGTGTATGTGGAGTGTTTTAAGTCACCCAGGAACTACTCTTGGAAAGATACTCAGTCAATGGAGGTAAGCTGGGTAGAGTCTTGGGGATGGAAGGTAACTATCAGATGTTTTGACTGGAGCCTGGAACAAGGATTGAGACTATTGCAAAGGTAGATGTAGGGTTCTGGGAGCTGAGAAACTGCCTCTGAATAGTTTGCCAATTCCATGGTCCCTCTCTGAATAGGGCCAGCACTTTGCATTGGGTTCTGCACCCACCTATTAGTCTTCTCGTTGGTGGTTTGATGTCCAGGGGAGGGCCATGCCTGGGCACTAATTTGTCTTAGGTTTTCCTAACCAGCTCCATCTCCTTCTCAAGGCAACCAAGGGATTTAAAGCTAAGGCTCATGTGGTGTTTGTTCAATGAGGTTCAGTTTCCCTAGCCTCCAGCTCTGAATAGCTGAGATCTGTATAAAGTTGAGGAGGTGACCTGTCCCTTTCCATCAGATCCCTGAGAAGTTTTGTCTGTGACATCTCTTCTGAAGTATAGCATGGCTTTGTGACATCTCAGTATGAGATAAGTACCCACAGAGAGTCAGCCTCAGAAAATGGCTATGAAATGAGCCAAAGGGAGACGATGATGAGGCAGGTAAACCTCAGATCTCTCTCCAAATGGCCTTGAGGACACACTGCCTTGGTGTTGCCTCTCCCTTCTGGGTTCCTGATTTCATCAGCAGTCCTTCAGACAACAGCTATTGTCGGGAGTGTGACTGCTTCCAGCCCTGGCGTTCTACTCTCCATTTCTACATTTAAACATTTAGAAATATTATGATGCCTTGTTTGTTTTTTTGGCAGTCACAGGGCTTGAACTCTGGGCCTGGGTGCTGTCCCTCAGCTCTTCAGCTCAAGGCTAGCACTCCACCAGTTGAGCCACAGTGACACTTCCATAGACACTTTCATAGACTTTTCTTGCCTGGGCTGGCTTTGAACTGAGATCCTCAGATCTCAGCCTCCTGAGTAGCTAGATTTACAGGGGTGAGCCACCAGTGCCTGGCCATGCTTTCTTTTTTTAAAATAAGACTATTATTAATTCAAGATGAGAAGAGGCAGCATTTCTAAGAGAGAAGTAGAGAAAAATTCAGACATTAAATTTATTTGAGAATTAAAACATTTTATGTTATAGAAAAAATCGTCCCCTAATAAATTATGAAAAATGCATAATTAACTGGAGTCATATCACCTTACAAAGTTGTTTGCATTCTTGAATATCACCTTTTAGCTTTTGTTTACATGGATATATAACTATATGCAAAGTTGATTATTACTTTGTTTAATTCCATGATGTTTTCTAAATCACTGCCCAATCTTAAGGATTTTTTTTTTTTTGGTGTAGTGATGCTGGGGATTGAAGCATTCAAGTAAGCACTGTATCACTGAGCTACATCCCAGACCTTTAGGGATTATTTTTATCAGCTGAAGAGTAATTTACCTTCAGCATGTTCTACAATATACTAAACCAGTTTTTGTGTGTATTTTTAGTCTTTACTTTTATTATAGTGTTCGTTATTAGAAACAAGGATGCTATGAACATTTTTGTGCATATACTTTTTTCTTTTGTGGAATTACTTGTCTAGGATAAATTCCCAGCAGTGGCATTGCTGGATTATAGAGCATAAACATTAGCGCGTGTGTGCTTGTGTGCGTGCATGCGCACACTTGTGCACAGTGTGTCTGTCAGTACTGGGTCTTGAACTCAAGGTCTTTTACTCACTGTTTTTTTTTTTTGTTGTTGTTGTTGTTGTTTTCTCTTTCTCATAGATGAGAGACAACCATGTGAGCCATACTTCTAGTCTGGGGTATTTTTGTTGCTGTTGCTACTTTTTTTTGGTTGTTGTTGTTTTAATGCTAATTCTGGGGCTTGAACTCAGGGCTTGGGCACTATCCCTGAGCATTTTTTTGCAAAAAGCCAGCACTTTGCCACTTGAGCCTTAACTCCACTTCTGGCTCTTTTAGTAGTCAATTGGAGATCAGAGTCTCATGGATTTTCTTGCCTGGAGCTGGCCTTGAACTGTGTCCCCAGATCTCAGCCTCCTGAGTAGCTAGGATTATAGGCATGAGCCATTGGTGCCTGGCTAGAGTATGAACATTTTTATGATTCATATATGCTTCAAGTATATTATTTTACTTTATGTATCTACAGCCCTGTTTCCAATCTATTTCAACTTTCATAGGCTCAGTTTTTTCCCAGTAGTTTTTTTTTAAATACATAGCATGTAGAGGAACAGCCATAGGATTTTTCTTCAGTGCAAAATAAAAATAACCCAATGTGAGGATTCATGATTTCCAAGAGTCTTTTCTTCCCTCTATTGAATAGTTTGGTGAAGGAGGTAATACTGGTACTCAGCCACTTGAGCCATACTTCCGGTACAGCTTTTTGTTGGAAATTTGAAGGTGGAGTTT